TTGCTGTGGTCTGCAATCTGGAGGGCCCCAAACCTCTTGGGCCACGAGACCATGAGCGGTTTTGTATCTTCTTCCCAGGTTGACTTGGCGGTTATAGAAGTTGGCATTGGGGGCGCCTACGATTGCACAAATATTGTCAGGTATGGAGGTTGAACTTCTGGATGCTGCATCATTAGCCTTCCAAAGGGTGGGTTTCCCTCTCTGTTCAGAAATGGCTCGTGTTTGGTGGACATCCGTTCTTCTCTTGATGGCTTTCTAGGACCGTGCCAAGAATCTGACTTCCCCTCCTGGGAGAGTCTTCTACATCTCCCTCTCTTTGTCTTCCTCGTAGGAAGCCAATAGTATGTGGGGTCTCCTCCTTGGGCATTGACCACACCAGCATCTTGGGAGACACCATCGAGAAGATCGCCTGGCAGAAAGGAGGCATCTTCAAGGTAGATGTTTTGGAGAGATCTTCTCTCTCAACCTTCATGCTATTAAGATGGGCTTGGGAAACCTGGAGAACTGTTGAAGCAGAATCAGAGCAGAGCATCTTGATCTGTCTTTCAGCCCGGTGTGCCAGCATTCACGGTGCCGCAGCCGGAAAGATCCTTAGAAGTCCTGAAACAGAGAGCTGAAGAGTGCCAGGTAAGGCCCCCCCATGTTTCCTTCTAGCTTTTCCTGGAAGACCAAGCCCTCTGGTAGCTGTTGGGGGTGGAAGACGCAATGGACAACTTACACACAAACCTTAGAAAGTCCAGAGCTGGTGCATCAACTTTCCTAGGACTTCGGGTTCTCCACGTAGATCAGAGATCTTCATCCTTGGCTCCTGGAAGATTTGTGGACTTCAACCCCTGGGCCACCAGGGCTCATCTTTATATGGAGCAAAACCATTCCTGGGTCCCCTCTTTCTTCCGCAGTGCCCGCTTTTCCTCTGCCCTGACCTGGAAGCCTTTGAAGACGACGACAAGCTCCTCAAACTAGGTTTGGCTGGTGATCATCAGCGCTCGAATGCTGCTTTAGCCCTCCAGCTGTCCCGCACGTGGCTGGGCCGTTGTGGGTATCTGGGTAAGGAAAGACACACACAGACAGACACACAGTTCACTCGTTCTTGGCAAGGAAATCTGAAACTATCCCAGGAGGGGAGGCCAAGGGGCTGGGGGCAATTTAATCCCCACCTTTATGCAATTTGGAGAGGCAGGCATAACATTTCTTAAAAAAGAGGGTTTAATCCAAGCTCAGCATCTTTCTGTTGTTGTTTTTTTTTGGGGGGGGGATCACTAGATTTGAAGCTAAGCCCTAAAGAGAAATATAAATGCACCAGGGAAGGAAGGAAGGAAGGAAAGAAAGAAAGAAGGAAAAAAGGAAAGGAAGGAAGGCAGGGAAGGAAGGAAGGAGAAGGAGGGAGGGAGCAAGGAGACAGGAATGAGAGGAAGAAAGGAAGGAGACAGGAAGGAAGGAAAGGAAGGAAGGAAGGAATGAGAGGAAGGAGGGAGGGAGGAAGGAGACAGGAATGAGAGGAAGGAAGGAAGGAGACAGGAAGGAAGGACCCTTCCTGATCGCCATCCCAGTTTCTGGAAGTTGGAGCTGGCGTTTGGGAGAGACAGAAAGCTTCTGTAGCATCTTGGCAGAGTGAGGGACAAAGGGGCTTCCCCTGATTTAATTAGATTTCTATTTTGCTTTTCAGATGCTGGTGAGCTGAAGGACTCGTGGCTGACCTCTGAAGCTCCATCCAAGAAGGTGCCCTGCTTGGCCCCGGCTTTTAAGCCAGACCAGCCCATGGTGCAAGGTGGGCGGTCCTTCCTTTTATCTGTCTTCCCCCATTTCTTCTTCTCTACCTTAGGTTCCTTATTATCTGTCTTCTCCTCCACCTCCTCCTCCTCCTTCTCTTTCTTATTATTTACCTTCCCCTCCTCCTCCTCCTCTTCCTCTTATTATTTATCTGCTTCTTCTCTTCTTTCTTATCTACCTCCTCCTCTTCCTTCTCCTCCTCTTATCTATCTATCTATCTATCTATCTATCTATCTATCTATCTATCTATCTATCTATCTATCTATCTATCTTCTCTTTCTATATCTATCTCTATCTCTTTATCTATCTCTATCTATCTATCTATATCTATCTATCTATCTATCTATCTATCTATCTATCTATTCTCTATATCTATATTCTCTTTCTACTGTATATCTCTTTATCTTTATCTATTTATCTCTATCTATTCTCTAGATATCTATATCTATTCTATCTCTATCTCTATCTCCTCTTCCTCCTCTTATTATCTATCTTTCTCCTCCTCCTTTTCCTTCCCCTCTTCTTATTATCTCTCTGTATATCTACCTACCTGTCTGTCTGTCTGTCTGTCTGTCTGTCTGTCTGTCTGTCTGTCTGTCTATCTATCTATCTATCTATCTATCTATCTATCTATCTATCTATCTATCTCCTCTTCCTCCTTTCTTATTGTCTACCACCACAACCACCACCATCTCCTCCTCCCCCTCCTCCCCCCCCATCCCTCCCTCCATCCCATTGCTGCCTCCTGACCTATTTCCTGCCCCTCCCTCCCTCCCCGCCCTTGACTTTCAGCAGACATCAGCTCAGCCCCGGCAGACGGACGGACCCTTTCTTGGTGAAACAAAAGCCCCAGTGTTGAGTCTTCTTTGGCCGGGTCCCACCCAGGACGTCCGTTGAGGGATGCTGAGCGGCCTGGAGAAGGAACGGAAAGATTCAATTATGCCGCTTAGAGTCACGGGGCAGGGACGTGACAGTTTGGCCTCTCCAAAACTTTCATAAAGATCTTTTGAATCGCTTATTCAAAGCTGCATTATCACGGGTTTGGGTTGAGTGTATTGTGTGAAGCCAGCACTGGTGGACCATCATTGGTAGCTTAGCGTGATGTTGGTGAACCACACACAGTTTTGCAGGAGACAACCCTGAGTACTGCCTTCTGCAGCTTTCCCCTAATCGTTTCATTTTTTAAGCCAAAGAAAATCCTATTTTTACCACATCTCTTATCTGATCCTCTCCAGAATCGTGAGGGCTAGAAACTTAGTTCCTGATCAGGAAGCTGCAGCGTTCTCACGGCTGATTTTCACTTTGTTTTCCAGGCCTGCAAACAGCCGTGTGGCTCGGACGTAACCAGGTGCTGCACCACGGCCCAGTGACGTGGTACATTGATGGGGCCCACACCACCAGCAGCGTGCAGGCCTGCGTCCGGTGGTTTCGCCAGGCGGCCTTGAATGAAGACAAACCTACAGAGTAAGCTGGGCTGGGTGTGTTTGTGTGAAATCTGTTCTGAAGCTGGTTTAAGGAAGGAAGGGATCGCTTTTTGATGGTGGAAAGGGGGAGAGGGGAGGAAAGGGAAGGAAGGAAGGAGAGGAAGGAAAGAAAGGAGGGACAAAGCCTAATGAATTCTATAATTTTGAGGTATCCTTGAAAAGGAAGGGGAAGGAAGGAAGGAAGGAAGGAAGGAAGGAAGGAAGGAAGGGG